TAGAAATTTCTGCAAAAAAAAACGGAAGAGGGGGGGTCGGAGTATTAGAGAACAAAAAAAATAATTTGCAACTCCGAAACGATTTTCCATTTTGTGATGATTGGCCAAGTCAAGCAGACAGTCTGATGGTGTGGAAGCTCATTCAGGTTCAATTTTGACTTACTTTTGGCTGGACCGATTTTCGGTTAGTTGACTAGTGATTGGCGCCTATGCTTTTCAATGCTGTTCTTTTCGAAACATCTCACAAACGATCATCATCTGTGAGTATTACCTCTTCTCTACCATCCAACGAAACAGAAGTAAGCCTTTCTCTTATGCTGCTGCTTCTGTTGCTGCTCCACCGTCTACTCTCTACTTCTCTCTGTCTCTATTATCCTGTACTTCACTCTTCTCTAAGCTGAGAAGCAGCCGGGGCCTCTTTCTCTAATGGCTCCCACAGCAGCCGAACAGGATAACGAAGATTGATAACGAGAATTGGGACAACTGTGAAAACAATCATCTCTTCTTCCAATCATTTACCTTTACTTCACCACCTTTATTTCTCTTCATATCATTCTCTCCCTTTCAACACCTCTCTCTCTCTCTCTCTCTCTTACCAATTTCTTTCATCACTTTAATCTATCACAAGCAATTTCTTTTTTTTTTCCTTTTCATCGTTTACTTCGTTAACGTTCCAACATACAGAAGAGGAGGAGAAGAGAACCATCGTCAGAATGAAATTTCAAAGAAAACGACAATGAGATCTAAACGAAACAACTGATGACATGATCGTTTGTTAAAACAGGAAATATTTTCTGGCAATGAATGGAAGCCAAGATAGAGGAGGTTACAGAGGATGGGGTTGAGGAAAGGGCAGTGGGACAAGAAGGACATAGGTACAAGGGTATAGAGGTACAGATGAAACACAATAAGAGAGAGAGAGAGAGGGAATGAGGAAGGAAGGAAGAGAGAGAGTATAAGAGAGAGGTAAAACAAAACAAAAAATATTTTAAATCAATTGACTTAAGATGATGATCACTTGAAACGGTCAAATGACGAAATTCGATTATTTCGAGAAAATGGCCGAACAGCTATGAACTGACAATCAAATGGCTCAAAAAGAAACTTTTTTTCTTCAAAAACATGACTCATTCAACTGTTTTTCATATTTATTATTTAATTTTTCACATAATTTTAAGTTGTCAAAAGGTCAAACAAAAACTTCTTCAATGGGACAATGTCATTAACGAATGTCAATTAATCAAATGAATTTTACACTTTTGAATTGCGGCAATTGGCGCCAAAATTGTTTTTTTAAAAATCATTTTTACGTCATGCTCAACGCTATACGGTTGTATACTAAGAATAGAATAATCAAAGTCATATTTAAAAGCTTTTAGGAAATACAACGACAGCAGGAGGTCAATATGGTGTATGTGGTTATGTGTGTAAGGCGGAAAACACTTAACTATATGGAATGATTAATTGATCAAAGTAAGAGATACGTTTTGATTAACGTGACTGTCATCAGATACCTTTAGTTCTCCTGGCGGTCATTCAATTTGTATCACATCCTCTGTCATTCTCAACGGATTAAATGCGGTTCAATTGAAATCGATTACACATTATCCGTATAGACACAATTTCAAATAGGTTGTTTATGAGGTTGGTTGAAAACCATATGAGGAAGTTGATATGAAGGAGGAATGTGTAGATTCTAGAGTAACATGCTCGTCATTCCAATATTACAAGATCAACAACAACTTTCATGATATGAAACACATCATTTCTGACAATAGTTTCATTGCAAGACAATAACACAAAAGATGGAAGGGGCGAAAGTTAGTTTTGCAGAGAAATGATTCATGGCTAGTTCGTTCAATCATCCTTGTTCCATTTTGTATAAAACTTGGCTATTATTCAATAAATACAACAATTATAAGGTTAAATAGACAGCATGTTACACAACAGCTAATCGTTTAGATCGCCATCAGATCCTGTAGCAGCAAGGCTGTACTGGAGTTAACTGGTCTCCAGCAAGCTGTACTGATGTGCGAGCAATGACATGATGAAGAGGTACATTGAGAGTCATTTGAAAATATCTGAAAAATGAAAAGACGACTATGGTTTTCTCTGTTTGACCATCGCTATATTCGTACGCATACCGAAAATTCAATATTGTGAGCGTCGTGGTGTGACTCGAAGCAAGAAGTAGCTCAGCCGATTCCGATATTGTGCGTGGTCGTCGATGCTCATTATCAACAACTTAGGTAAAACGGCGATTTCGAGCACTGTGCAGCTGTGACCGTATATGCGTAGGTAGAGCAACGGATGGATTAAATCAATTCTTGCTGCTTTTGCTTTTAAGCCGTATCGTCTTAACCGACGAATATGTCATTGCGGTAGGCCAAATCTGGTGGACAAACGTGTCTCTCGTGTGTATAACACAGCCTCAAACAATATGAAAATTATAATAAACAGAAAGAAAAAGATAGAAGAAGAAGAAGAAGAAGTTATAAATTTAAATATATTTCTTTCTTTGACGCTCAATTTATAATTAGCATAATATATATGAATGAAATATAAATACAATATTGAATGAGTTGGATAGTATGATGATGATAACACATTTCAAACAATGATGATGTTCACGATGATCAATAGTAAATGAGTAAAGTACAAAACAAACAAAAAAATAAATAGAAATAGAAACAATCAAACTCAAGTCATTGGTTATTATAATCTGACGTGGCTTGTAAGCTACCTATGATGCGGGAAAATGTTTCAAAACCGTGTCTAATCGAATGAAAAAGGTAATATCTTG